TCCAAAATAAAGTCCTAATTCCTTGGCATGACCTAGAAGACCCTTCAGAATCAGCCTACTATTTCACACCGTGTACTTTCACCAGCCCCAGCCCTCACTCCCCTAGGGTGCCCAGCACTCCATCCATACTTTACTGAATTTTCCAGTCTCTCACTACTGCTTTTGTTACATGGTTCCCCTGGCTGAAAACACTTATCCCATTGTCCCCTTTACCTGAATAACTTCTACTCATCCTTCTGATCACAGGTTGGATGTTACTGTCTCTGGAGAAACATCCCCAGACTTGGCAAGATTAGATGTTCCTTTTCTGAATTCCATTACGTCCCTGTGACAAAATGGCCCATTTAATCTCTCCCCTACAATTCCATAAATTCTTTCTGGTCATGGACTGTGTCTTGTTATCCTTGACCCCCAGCTCTTACCACACTGCCAGACGCATGAAAGACATTCAACAAATAGTGATTCAATAGGAAGTGATAACATCATAGAGCTCTTGGTTTACCAAAGCTACCCTCTCTAGCCATCCTCATTCCCCTTGACACAGACTTTTGGGATTTTACCACTTCAATTACAGAACCACTTCAGATTTCTTCTCCTTTCCTTTATCTCTTACACGGAGAACAAAATAAGGGAAGTTGATCCCTCGAGGCTTTATATTAAGTTCCTTTTTGGAAGAGAAAGGCCTTAATCATCTGATACCCAAACATCTCTCCATGTTTGGGAGGCTGCCCTTATACTTTCCTAGGTATATATTTGGTCTGTCTGATCATAAAAAAAGTCTGAAACTACACAAACTCCATGGCTGTGCTGTGTGGCACAGAAATTTCCAATGCTTTTGGTCTGTTCCTTAATTTCACTGTGATTTACAAAGAAAATATTGATTGGCACAGGACACTGGTAAACAAAATCCCAGTTTCCTGGCCCTACACCAGGTTCAGTTTTTTAAGACCAGAACAAATGCCCTCCACCTTAAAGATAATAAATAATCCAGGTGAGCTCTCCCTCTGCCTCCTGCGCTGCTTGCTCGCTCTACCCACGCTCTATGACTTCTGAGAAGAAAAAGAAGATGGTTTTCCCCGCTGCTGCTCATTCTTCTGCTTCTACTCATCAGTTCCTCCGTCCTCATCCCATAAGGGGTCGCACCTCTCAGCAAAATCAGTCTTGAACTCCAGATCTGGTGACTGCCATCTTAGGGTGAGAACTTATACCACAAATTATTAATGGGTATCATGTGTATCACTGCTCCTGCTGCCTTTAGAAGAAGGAAAGTAGATCTTTGCTTTACTAAGTGGAAGATTTAAGAGGGTTCTTTCTTTACCCAAAATTATTTTGTTTTTAAGCAAACTAAAAAAAGGAAGCATATAATTTGTGTTTGTACTTTTGGCAGCTGACAGAAATTTTTTCCTGCCTTCATTTCTTCTTTTTTTTTCCCCTTCATTCTTTCCTTGATTCCTCTCTTGTATCCTACATACACTTAATAGAAATTTGGGTTAATTAGTTGGGAGTTGGCTATGTCTATTACCCAAAATAGGTTAATCCCAATACATTTTTAACAAACACCGGCTTACAAAATAATTGCTGATTAAGCCACAGGACTACATCCCCAGCTATGCGGATAGCCAAAGTCAGTAACCATCAAAGCAAATAATTAGATGTCTGTCCTCAGTCCATCCCCAGCTTACCAGTCTAATAGCTTCCTCCCAAAAAGAACATGTGTATCTCCTGGAAAGGAGTGCTAAATGTACAGATAGGGCACTATTATTTTGTTTTCCAATTATTTTCTATTCTTAAAACTGTATATACTCATCTGAACTCTGCATAATTAAAAAAAGACATCTAAATAGGCTTAAATTCCTTGAAAGTGCCCAGGGTCCTTTCACCTCCTCATCTTCCTCGGACTTCACTCCCCTCCCACCGCATTCATTCCGCCCAGTGCGAGTAATTGTCTTCAGTGAAGAGGCTTGACACAAGAAGACTGTGCAGCTTCGAGGGTCCTCCCCCGGCTAATAGTCTGTCTACCCATTGGCATTCTTCTCATGTTTTCTCTATCATTTCCCAAGCATTGGTCCATTCAGAACTTGGGCCTCCTCTGGCACTTTCTAATATTCGGTGCCATTTTCGCATCTGCCCTGTAGTATGACTTTTTTTTTTCCTATCTTCTACTTATATTTCTTTCTTGCAACCATACCTTCATATACCCTAAAAACAAGAGAGAGATTTTTTTTCTTCAGTGGCAATCCTGCCTCTTCCAGATTTTCCTGTAGATATAACAAAGCCTATCTTGCCAAAAGGCCATGCGGTTATACCTTGTGCCAAGGGGCACAGGGGTGGGCAAAAGTAGGTTTAGAGCTGTTTGTATTAATAATTGTATTTTTCCATACAAATAACTGTAAACCTCCTTTTGTCTTACTCTGTATATCTTGTTTCCAAAATCTGCTGGTTTTTTGGCAGCTGGTAGGAACACCGACCATACGTAGCCACAGAAATCGCGATGCTTGCCGATGACCTGGTGCTTCTGCCCCTGAGCTGTGGATATGATCCCAGACAAGGGTTTCATTTGCCCTTCCACGCGAGGAAGACAGGTGGAGGCACACGGAGAGAAGCAGCAGGCATTCAGAGTACTTTATACTGCTCTGTACTATCTTCTGATATCTCTATGATGTTTGACTTTTAAGTCCTAGCTTTTAAAAAGAAATGAAATAATCAGCTTTTGATTGACCATGCTAAAACTATTTTAAATATGTTCTAAAACTACGGCTTAAACATCCCCCCACCCCACACACACACATATGGTTGACCATGTAAGAGAGATATGGGTACTTTAAGAAAATGTTTCTGGAAGGCTGCCTCTGGGGCAACTTCTGAGCTGAAGCCAAAGCTGAGGCATTGCGAAGGGATTCTGTTTCCCTGGGATGCTAATTAACTCCAAATAGTGCATATAAATTAAGCCAGCAGCTACTGAAAGATGCAGCTTATGGGAGAGGAAAAACTAAAGAGGCTTAAAAGTAAAGTACTGTCTTCTAATTGGAGAAAAAAGGCATCAGGGGCATAGGAGGAAGGTTTTTCTTTCCACCCCAGCATTCTACTCTTGTTCTAGAAGCTTCCATCCTTTTTCCTTTCTCCACTATGACAGATGTAATTTCTTGGGTAGCCAACTAGGGAAGGGGCCTCTCCCCCAGGAACCTGCTCTCTCTTCTCTCTTGAATACAGACGTTGTTCTCTGGACAGATGCTCTGCTAGCTGTGCGCCCAAATTTGCCTGGCAGAAACATCCTCCTCTTCTCCCCCAGTGTCTGACTCAGTGGGTCTGGGCAGGGCCTTGGAATCTGTATGTTTAACAAGTGTCCCCGCTGATTGATCCAAGTGTGGGAAACACTGCCGCTTCCCCCGAGACTGACACAGTCCCTGGGCCTGCAGTGGGACCCCTGCCATCCTGACGAAATAAGTCCAGGTCACAGGGGAAGGTGCCAGGAGTGGAATCTGCAGCTGTCCCCTGCCTTTTCCAGATAGTTGTTTGTTTCACTGTTAAATGTTTTAAGCTTAACTGTTAGCATACAGAGCTGACTCTTTATTTTTAATGTGCAAATATAAGCACACGAATCACTTATTTTAGGTAAACCTGCCAGTGCCTGATTTACTACTTTTAGTTTGGACGACGTTACCCAGCAGCAACTCTGGTGGCAGCGCCCTAGTCTCAGGTTTTGTTAAGAACAGGACAACCTTTCCTGATGCTCTTAACTAAACTAAACCATCCAGTGAGAATCACTGCTCCACAGCCACTGGCAACAAAGAAAATGGCCAGAATAAACGTACCAGTTGAACCATCCACAGAATCTTCCATTCAACCCAGGTATTTAAAAAGGTGTGCACAGAAATCTGAGATCTAAGTAAACTCTTTTTCTTTAAACTGTCTCCTGTCCCAAAAAAGACTGCAGAGACATTTCCACTTAGGTCTAAATGCACATACATATCACCCCATAGCCCTCTGGGAAAATTACAATATATTGTTTGTGACTTTATTATACTATAGTTCAAGGTTCAACCTAGACATGATCTAGTTAAGACTGCAGATTAGGAGTGGCCTGGGGCGTTAACATCACCCATGTGCTGCTGGATGAAGTGGTCTATTCTGTGCCCCCTATAAAGAGCCTGTCCAGAATGAAAGACAACGATGACACATCATGCTTTCCTCCTCCTAAATCAAGGAATACTTACCGCAAAGGGCTGCTCATTTAAAAGGAAAGCATACCTTATGCAGTATGACGATGTCACTACTCATGAAATTACAGATTACCTAGAGCGTCATGGTTCTGGATTCTAATTTTAAACCCGACCTTGAGCTTTTGTGTCAACTGCTAATTTCTACTTGACTATACAGAGCTTTTCACTTCTCTTGACCAATGTCACATATTTGCATACATCTTTTAGCAAAAAGAATTTAAATTATTTGATGAAAACATTCTTGTAAGCCAGCTGTCATTAAAGAAAGGTTTCTAGAAAGATTTATCTGTTAGTTCCCTAGAGGTGATACTTAAATTTATGTAATTATAAAAGAAATAGCTAGGGTGAGAAAGGAGAGACCTTTTGTGGTTAAGAGAGAAATTAGTAAGGCTTCGTTCATTTAGCAAAGGCAGATACCCATATGAAATGTTCCTTGACTAAGCAGCTATTTCCTTAGAATCTTGGTTTTAAAGAAGGATCCTAAACTTAAGATAGGGGTACATGGTTTTGAGTCCCAGTAGGTTCTAGCCCTGCTTCTTCCTGGATACAACTGCACGATCATTTCATTTCTCTGTTTCAGTTCTGTCTTCAGCTGAATGGGAGAATAAAAATACATATCCCACCTCACACAGTGGCTGTGAGGAATAACTGTGCAACTTGCCTGAAATACAGTAGAGCAGGCTCCAACAAATGTGAGCAAGTCCTCTATAGTGTAAAGCACTATGAACAGTATTGTTAGTAACCTTTATTTTTTCCATGGAAATGAGGCTACTCTTTACCCAAAACTTACTAAAAGTCCCCAATATCCAGATTCAAAAGATAAGGCAAGAAATTACATTCCAAGGGGAATAAAAATTTATCTAAAAGAGTCCAACAGCCTGCAGTGTGGCGCCTCGAGAGAGGCTGGTTTTTCATAAGCTTTATTGTACACCGGGATTCTGGCCATGGACCCTGCTTTACCAGAAAATGTCTGTTTTCCTAATAAAGTCAAATAAGAACCCATAGCTGCCCAGTCATTCTATGAGCAAGACCACAGGTATAGAAAAGCAACACTCTGAATAAACTCAGGACAACGGCCGTACAAGCACAGAGATAAATGCTTGGGGAGCTTACCTACCCTCACGTTCTTCTTGATTTCTTCCTCATTCCTTCTTGACAAAGTCTAATGGTGCACAAAAAGTACATCTCAATGATAAACAAGTAAGACTCTATTGACAGTTCCGTTGGACTCAGTAACACTACTTAAGAAAGCAAGCGTACGTTAAGACTGAGAGTCAATTTAATGCATTACTTCTGGTGCATTTTTTTTCCTTTCCAAAAAGAAGAATAAACCAGAAAGAGAAAAATAACAAAACCAGGAGACTGAAACACATAATGCAAGCTACATACAAATCTACATATAATCCTCATGTGCTGATTTTCTTGACAAAAAAGATTTCATTCCAAGTTGCTGCTAGTTTTGATGCAAATGTAATTTGGACCATGGCCCACAAGCCTATGGCTTTAAGTAGGTAGAGTGCAGTCATCACAAGTTATTCTTTGTTAGGATTTCTATTGCAAGGTCAAGCATGCCTTGGTAGCAATAATGGTGGCACTCAGTGCAGGTACTCCAAACCAAGGGAAAGGTAGTGTGGAAAAGTACAAAATATTGACTCTACCTAACCTAGCAACTCCTACTGAACAACACATATGCTGCATATTTATGAGTCGTAGCCCGTGCTTGTGGAATATTCACTACAGAATTAAAACAGACACTGCATATTATATTTAGTATACAGCATGCCTTTTCTGCTCAGTGCAAGAGAAATCTACTACCCAGCAGATAATGAGACTGATGGCCTGACAGCAGCAATGTGGCAGGGTGTTGTTCTTTTCTATCCCCCAAATAAAAAATAAAATAATAACATGGTTGACAATCCCAATTAAATTCCAAGTCCGATTCAAAACTCATCTTCAGAGCTGTCAGCTAAGAGCATTACTCGATCTTGCATGCTGTTGAATTCTCTCTGCTGGAGAAAGAAAACAGAAAAGCATTAAAACTCCTGCTGCTGGAGAGCGAAGCTGAGGAACGGGCCCCCTTTAAAAGACACTAATGAACAAACGAAGCCAGGGCGGCAGCTAGCGCAGCTAATCCCAAACCACTGGGCACATCCAGACTGTTCATGCATCATTAAGCCTCATGTGTTTTAATAAGCAAATTAGAAAAGCAAAGAATGTTCCGGAACTGACAAAGTTTTCCTGTTGTTGGTTCCATACCTTTCTTTTGTGCCTCTTGAAGCCATTTCTCCTTCTGCGATTCATCACCTTAAGGCTGTAGAGTGCTCCCAAGATGAACAAGGCTCCTGCTATTCCCACCCCGACAGGCACCAGCATCCCAGACATATAGCCAGCCTGCAGAGAACAGGAAACCCACATTAGGACTCTCAACAGACCACTGCCCTGGCTTCCTCATTGCTGCTGGACGGCAGCAGGTGTTTAGGCACTGTAAATTTTCCCATCCGCTTCATTATAAAACAAAATAGCACCTAGAATAAAGTTACTTTTGGGGGAGGGAAGGCAAAGAGAGAGAGGCATGATGACTATTTTGGGATATTTCCAATGCTTAGAAGCATTACCATAAATCAGCCAGACTTAGTGGCACCTCCAGACACTTCATTATGCACATTTGTCAACATCAGGTTTGGATGACAGAAATATAATTTGTATTAAAGATTGATGAAGTAAGCTTTGCAGGATGCCAGGACTATTAAAGTGTAATCAATTGGAAGTGTTGGCCTGAGCCAAGCTCTAGGGTGAGGCGGGAGTGGAGGGTGAAGAGCCCTCTGGATTACTGTGTTTCTTGGAGGGCACGAAGGCAGTCTTGACATTGGTGGTCTGCTCTCTCTCAACCTTAGCGGCATCACAGTAAGAAAGGAAAGAGGGATGTGCTTGTAAGCAAGTGAAAGGTAAGGGCTTCTGGAAACAACAGGGACAAGAAGGGCCTGCAAAGGAACGAGGAAGGAGGTTAGATGTTGGAAAGGCAGAAAAGACTAGGATGAAGAGAAACCATGTATGTAGAGTGGATGAATTAATTTATATGAAAGAGATAATCTACCCGGTGGATAAGACCAAAGTTGGGGGTTGGGAGGGAATTCTGAGTGCCCCCAGCCCCAAAGAAAAAAAGTGGCAGAGAAGGGCATAAAGATCACTGTCAATAATATTTGTACCTCCGAAAGTGCACAGAGGTATCAAACCGATGTGTGTCTCCAATGCCCCCAAGGTGTCACCATGGGTACCTCGGTCCTACGAAAGCAACATGATCTCCATGCACCCCTAGCCTTGGGTAAGTAGCTCTGAACATATCCAAGTTTAAGGTAAGGCCATCAGAGGAAGGGGGTTCACTGCATCTTGGCCAATAAGACACCTAAGGGCAAGAGGTGTATGTCCTAACTAGTTCTCTTTCATGGGGGAACATAGCACTGGTTGGCTGTCTAAGAAGGCCCTTTCTTGAAGCCTACCCAGACAAAATACATAAACAATTAAAATTTTTAAGCTGTAATAAATATTTTAGATAGACATTATTTTAAGGGGGAACTATGAGTCTATTTATTTATTTGACTATTTCTCAAATTTCTAATGTAGCACAATTTCTAGTCTTTCAGAATAAGCCAAGAACAGAGAAGAAGAGGGAATAAAAGTTTTCTAAAAAGTGCTGAAATATGCAGTCTGTGTCGCTTTCCCAACATTTTTAGAAGTAAATGAAAGGAATAGACAAGACCTTACAGAAGTGCACCTTTTCTGTATGCATAGATAGCTCGCTCACAGGTTCTGCCAACCCAAGTCTTGAGTTAGGGCAGAATATAGAAATTTTTCCATTAATTAGAGAACAACAGCATTGTTCACCAGCATACTAAGTGTTTTTTCCTAGAGAAACAAAGCCCAGTCATTATTCAACAAATCACTATGCCTTGCATTGACTCAATCTTTTTCTAAAGTTCTTCCTATTCTACTTAAGGCTTAAAAAATTTTTAATTCTTAAATATATTCTTAAAACATGTCAGTGTCATGAAAGACAAAAGATGGTTACAGAAAAATGTTTTCAATTAAGGAAAATAAAGAATCATGACAACTAAATGTTTTATATGACCCTAGACTAGATTCTTACTAAAGGAGAAGACTTTTTTATAAAGAACATTTGGGTTTATTGAAAAAACTGAAATGTGGATGCCAGATTAGATATAAGTACTTCATTAATGTTAAATGTATTCAAGCTGATAACTGTACTGTGTTTGCTAACAGAATGCTCCTATTTGTAAGAAATACACACTGAAGTATTTGAGATAAAAGCACCATGGTGTATGTATGTTTTCCTCAAGTGGTTTAGAAGAAAAGAATCAGAGATGGGAGACAGTACCACCAAATGATAAAGAAAATGAGGTAAAATGTTAAACACAAGCTCATCCATGTAAAAGTATAAGTGCTCTTTGTAATATTCTTGTTCTTGTATCTTTTCTGTAAATTTTAAACTATTTCCAAAATAAGTTTTAAGTTTTTAAGTTTTAAGTTATAAATTGTAAGCCAAAATAGTACTAGATATAGTTGGTTTGTGTTTGTTTTTCATCTTGTTATACATTAATGAGAAAGGTGTCCTTTCTTAGGATAATGTATTTGTTCAGAAACATCTGTTTTCAAGAAAACCAAATGGTACACTGCACTGCCTAAAGTCTGCTGAATTCAGACAGCACTCTCATGAGTTCTCTGCAACAATAGTTCTCAAAATGATGCATCAGAATCACCTTCAGGACTTGTTAAAACATAGACTGTTGGGCTCCATTCCCAGAGTTTCTGACTCAGTGGGACCTGAAATTTTGCATTTCCAACAAGCTCTCAGGTAATGCTGATGCTGCCGGTCCAGACCACCTATAAGAATCACCGCTATGAAGTATAGTCTGGGGCTTCCATTTTCTGGATAACTTCCTAAAAGCTAGGATGATCTTAATGATAACAACAGAGCTGGTCTTTACTGCATAACTAAAATTGGTATGCATCTCAGTTTTGAGAAGCAATTTAGATGTTGAAAAATATATCAATAGGTAGCCAAGTTAGGATTTGTCTAACAAGCACCACTAACTTGAACATTAACCAAGATGAAGGTTAATGATGGAAAGAGGATAGGAGCTATCCATTAATATCCATTTGTCCCTTCTTCTAGAGCAATAGAACTTCCCTTTTGAGCTGAGTACAGAATAACGATGACATCTTCCTGCCTTCATGCAGCTGGGTATGAGCATGTGATGAGTCTCACTAAAGAGATGATACATTATTGGCATGTGTTACTTCCAGGCCATGCTCTTTACGAGGGGAGGAGAGCCTTTACTCTGCCCTCCCCTTTCTTTAAAAATGACAGAGTACATTTATCCTCCCTTTTTAAAGGGAAAGTAGGTCTTAACTTTCCCTTTTCTTCCTTCTGGCTAGAATATGGACTTAGCGAAGTTGAAACTGTCATGCAGGACCATGAAGTGACCTTGAAAATGAAGATCCCAAATCATGGAGCATCAAACAGAAGGAGCCTGAGCCTTCCCAGTGTTCCTGCTTATTAACCCTTGACTGCCACCTCCAGACTCATAAATAAGATACAAACTTCTGTCTGGGTTAAGCCATTGCCATTAGGGGGCTGTCTGTCACAGCTGATCTTAATCCCAACTAAGGTAAAAAAAAACTAAACTAAACAATAACAACAAAAGGAATAATTCAGAACTTTTTAAAACATCATCCTTTCCAGATACCAGCTAACTAACAGGAAAACCAATATTGGGAATGATTAAATGAATCTAAACTGAGAAGTTTGGTCCTGGGTTAGCTGAAGAGCCAGTTAAATATGTAGTTTAGTTTTCATTTCTAAGGTATTCTGTGATTTTCATCAAAGATGCAATAGTTTTATTTGAAATAGTTTTTGAAGATCATGACTAACAAGACTTTTATAGGTGGTAATTAGCTAGATGAAGAGAGAGGAAGGGAGGGAGGAAGATATACAAATATATGTATGTGTACATACATGAATGTGTGTATCAAGTAAGTGTATAATATTTCACTCATGGGGGAGGAGGGATATGGGGAAGATGAGAGTGAGTTCCTTCAAGAAAGGGTCAAAATATGAAGACATAGGCATTAAATAAGTCAACCGCAGTGGGAATCTCAACTACTTTTCTTCCAGTTTTTTAAAATTAAGACACAGCTGAAAAAATACTATGCAAGAAAATGAATAGAGAGCTGAAAAACTTCAAAATAATCCAAAAAACTAAAGTACACACATAGAAAGGAAGTGTCCACAGGAATAGAAAATATAGCCTTTCTCTAAACCTGCACAGATTTTTTAATAGAGTGCCAAAGCTATACACACACACACGCACGCACGCACATGCACACACACACAGAGGTAAGAAATTTTTCAATATTCAACTTCAAAGCATGCCAAAACTTGTTTTTCAGTCTATTTTTTGTCCATTCTTGTAACTCAGAATATTCTCTATAGAAACAATGACATATGGATTCTTAAATTAAACTGCCAGAGTCTGTTTGCTTCTCGCTGAATCATATTTTTCCCTGAAACATACCAAGAGACATTACCAATATAAATATATCCACCTCTAGAATTTCGAGCTTTTCTTCCCCCCAGGTCTTGTTGAACTCATCTGATCAGACCTCCCCCTTAGGCAACTGGACCCCATATTACAGACATCAAAATAGCCTCTACTAACCTCAGGAGGCTTAAAATTTTTCAACATTCCTTCTAATATTTATAAACACAAATAGTCTCATTCTCCAAAACTATATTTGATCAATTTTATGGAGAAGCAGAAAAACAACAGTGAGGAGAATTAACATAATTTATGATGGTAATCACAATTAGATCTATTATTTTATTCTTTAACACTGAACTGTAGCAAAACATTACAACTGTTCATCATTCAGATAAGGAGAAAATTGACCCCAAATAACAAAAAATATGGACTACCATGAACAGAAGTATATTCTAAGACAGGTGAATCTGAAGTAACCCAATGTTTGGCAGTTGAAAAGATTTTCATTTAACTAAACCCCCAGTTAAATCTGAGCTGGGTTATAGTAATGGAATCTGACACAGGCAACAGCAAGGAAACCAAAATGCCATCAATATTTTCATGGGTAATTCCAATTTAAAATTACAAAGTAACCAAAAATGAAAACTTGGACAATGTTGAAAATCAAAAGAAAATGAAAAATATGAACCTGAAAGTTAATGTTGTCAATTACTAAGTAGATGGCAAAATTAAAGCAAGAGAGGAAAATATTTTTCTATCAGTTGGCCATTCCAGGCAGGTCAGCTCATTATCACTCAGTAAGTAGTGGCACTGTGAGAGACTCCATAAAGTTGGGTCTAAAGTAAGCACTCGCATGTTCAGATGTTTTTATCCCATCCCCCACTATGGTTTAAGGGAGGCTGTTTCATCTCAAACTTTCATACCTAAATCAAGTCCACCCATGGGTCAGATCAGGCTTAAAAGTGCCTTGCATTGGGACAAGAAATGCCCAGTAGAATGGGATTACAATCCTGAAATTCCCCAAAAGAAACTCCACTTTGACATGTCAAGGATATTATTGAGATGAGTATACGTCTTGTGTAACACTAACTCTGTGGAGCATCATTCATTCTTTTTTTTATTTGTCATCATTACGTGTCTGAATTTTAAAGATTCTTGAACTGGGGGCTCATATGCATCAGCTCGTTCAACTTCAGCACCTGTCTCATCCCCAGTAGCTTTTTCCAGAACTATTCAACCTTCACCATGAAGCTGCATGAGTTTTCCCAATTCAAACTTGAGCTGCTTCACCATTTTGACTTTTCTAACAAAGACATCATAGAGCAGATAAATAGATTGGCAGGCCTTTTCTATGTCTTTTCCAATGCTATCTGGAATCACCATTCATTCTTAAGGCAACATTTGGTACGCTTACTCATCAGATGCTGCCTTAAGAATGAATGGTGCTCCAAAGAGTGTTCTACAAGAAAGAGCTTAAAGGGAAGACCTTTCTTGCTGGGCCCTGATCTTTTCATAGATTAGCAAAACCAGAATAATGAATTAGAGCTCCATTATTCTGAAGATCTTGTATTTGCCAAGGCCATGCCATGTAAGGTAAATCTGAAGGAAGAAAGTACTTCTCTTACCTTGTCTTTTAGTTTTTCCATCCAGCTTCTCACTAGGGAAAATAAGAGAATAAAATGTAAACAGCCATCATTTTACTTATATTTCATTGTGTTAATCTGATAACTTATATTTCATGATATTAATTTGATACAAAAAATATTATTGTATGAAATACAGTTGAAGGGTCAACAGTATTCAGATAATAACAGAATAGTCTTATTTTAATTCTCATTTATTTAAAAAAATGAGACAGCACAAACACACCCCTCATATCATTGTTGAGGAATGGAGAATATTTGGATTTGCTGAATGTACTTTTTATTATTATTAAAAACTTTGGAGGGAGGCCTGGGGAAGGAGGACAGAAATCACCTTTCAAATATCAAGTTCACTTCTTATCTGACATTTTCTCCTGTGCTGACTCCTCCTCACTCTTGGGTTTTAAGTCCAATGAGAATTCTGCACCTGAATCAATGTCAGAGCAGAGTAAGGCAGGAAATGGCAATGGGCGGGCCAGAGCGGCTCAGCACTGGCTCCAAAGAGAAGCACTTGCTTTCACATTTGAAGAAACATTTGATCAAAGGCAAAAAGTACTACATATATTTATGAAGGAAGTACTTCTGAAATATATGTAGCTTGCAAAGTGTGTCATTCCATCATAATAAAAGCAATAATTAAGTAATATAAAAGGCACCTGCAAAGGACTACATCAGCTATGAAATATTTCATAGACCATTATTACAACCATCTGGAAATGCGTGTGCCAAGAATTGAAGGAAGCAACAATCAAAATGAAAGCATGCGTTAGAGTAACCATGTAAAGGGTGGTTTGAAGTTAGCGGTGGGGTTTTTGATCCTTACCTGACTTTTAAAGTTATAAAACAATGAAAATTCATTTTTAAAAGCATCAAAAATTAGAAAGTAAGTATATCCTCATTTTACCTTTATTATCAAACAAAAGAAAAAAAATTTTTTTTAAACTCTCAAGATTTTCTTAAATTTCCTTTTCCTTCCAGGAGCTTCAACAGATAGGAAGGCAGGACACAGACTGGCAGACCCAAAAATGGTTCCTAAAAGGCATAGGCCAGGTCTTGGCATGCTTTTCTTGGAAAGAACCAAAAATATTCTAGGCCTTGCAGGCCATACAGTCTCTGTGACAACTCGGCCACTACAGTGAGAAAGCAGCCACAGGCAGTACATGAGTAAATGGGTTTGGCCATGTTCCAACAAATTTTATTTATGGACACTGACATTGAATTTCAAGTAATTTTTGTACATCACAAATATTTTCCTTTGATTTTTTTCAACCATATTAAAACATAAAAAACGTTCTCTGCTAATAGGCCATATAAGAACAGGCAGCAGGCCAGATTTGGCCCATGGGCCACAGTTTGCAGACCCCTAGCATAGATTGCTTTACCCAAAATTGGTGTCACCATTTACAATTTGACTTTAGTAATCATATACCTGACAAGAGTGATGACAGCTAACACATGCATGAGGCCTTACTTCCTTACAAAGCGTGTTCAACTGTATTGCACCATTTGATTAGCAAACCAATGACAAACATGAGAGTCAGGTAAGATGATGCTCAGGAAAAAGATGAAGAAACTGAGATTCAGAGAAATTAAGAGACTTGCCCATGGTTAACCAGGAAATAAAGAATCACTAGAATTCCTACTATTACCTGATTCAGTGACCTACAGGAATAAGACTTCCCAACTTTGTGTGTGAGTGCGTGCGTGTGTGTGTGTGTGTGTGTGTGTGTGTGTGTGTGTGAGAGAGAGAGAGAGAGAGAGAGAGAGAGAGAGAGAGAGAGATACCACCACTCCCCTGCTCTCAGTTTGAAAATGTGGAGCTTCCTTTGGCTCTTCTATTTCATTGTGTCCACAGATTCAATCTCTCATGTCAAGACCTTGACAAGACCTCTCAAGTTTGTCCTTACTTCATCATTTCTTCTATCTCAACTGGTATGCAGACAAAGACGGTGACAATCAAACAGAATAAGATCAGAGTCATGGGACAGTCAAAAGAAGAACATTGCAGAAACCCCGAGAACGAAGCCAAAGATTAGTGATTCTAAGAACGGTTCCATGGAGAAGTGAAATCAACCACTGATTCGCTGACTTGGAGAAAATAGTAAGGCTCTTGGACACTCTGCTTCCTCGTATGTGAAATGAAGATGTTAACACCTGTCTTGCAAGATTGTTGTGAAGATTATAAATAATATGCGTGAAGTGTCTAGTACAGTACTTAGTGTACAGAAATTAAAAAACAAAAACAAGAAATCTGAGACAGGAGGGTAGAAAGAAGGGTAAGTGAAATTTTAGTATTGCATTAACATGTCTCAACTAAGCCCATGGCATAAAGTTAAATTCAAGTAAGAGAACGCTTCCAATTCATTCATTCAGTTCAACAAATATTTATTGTATGTTTTGTGTTGGCAAGACATTGTGCTCTACACTGTGTCAGTGGAAGGTATGGGGACCTAATATGAATGAGCAAAAACTTAGGCCCCCAGGTCTGTGGGAAGTAGATAACAAGCAACAATGTTAGACACGAATAGAGTGAGAGACAGCAGGAAAGCTATTCACTGGAGCCGAAGGCAGAACTCTGAAGCAAGATGTTTGGAATTAGGGAATAGGTTGGGTGTTGTTTCAGGAGCAAAACAAGGGAGCAAGAATGTGGATCCTAGAGGAGGTGAGCTGGGGCTGGCTGACTACTTGTGGATGGCAGGAGAAAGGTTTGTGTCTCTTTGTCTCCCCTTTTCTCCCAGGCTCTGTGGTATATCTGTATAGTCCTGTTGTTCTCTGTATGTTTGTCTTTCTCTCCTCCCATCCTCCCCATGTGTGTGTGTGTGTGTGTGTGTGTGTGTGTGTGTGTGTGTGAGTGTGGGTGTCTTTGGTCACAAATAAACTAGATCTCTAAGTTCCATCTTAGACCAAGGATTTTTTTTTTGGACTCAGTTGTCTGTGCCAGGACTGCTTTCCATTAGGCAACAATAGTTCTAAGTGGCAGAAAACCTACGGTGAAATTTAAAACTCAGAACGAGCAATAATGAAGATATTGTGTATGGGATCACAGTACATGGCGACACTATAAAAAAGACAAAATACAGAGGGAGGAACAAATACCTCGGGGGATAATAATGAGTTTTATTCTGAATACATGGAATTTAAAATACTTATGCAATATCCATGTGGACATGTTTGTTGGCAGTTAAAAATTTAGATATAAAGCCCTGGAAGGTAGCTCCGTTGGTTGGAGCACCATCCCATACACTAAAAGGTCACAGGTTCAACCCCAGTCAGGGCACATACCTAGGTTGTGGGTTCAATCCCCAGTCAAGGCACATACAGGAGGCAAGTGATCAATGTTTCTGTCTCTCCTTCAAAATCAATAAACACATCCTTAGGTGGGAATTTAAAAAAATTGGATATGGAGGAATTCAGGCTGAAAACCAGTGTTTGAGAGTTGCCGCATATTGATGGAAGCTTAAGTCAAAAAAAGTATATAAGATCACCTTGGAGTATAGAGCACATATTAGACTAGGTTCTCCAGAGAAACAGAACCAATGGGATATATGAGATTTATTATAAGGAATTAGCTCATGTGATTATGGAGACTGACAAGTCCCAAGAGCTGATGGTGTATTGGTAGTCCAAAAGCTGGAGTTTCAAGACTCAAGAAGAACTGATGTTTCAAGTTCAAAGGCAGGAAATAAAAACCCTTGAGTCAGGCAGGAGGAATTCCTCACTCATGGGAGTGTCTGCTTTTTGCTCTATTCAGACCTTCAGATGATTGGATGAGGGCCACTCACACTAGGGAGAGCAATCTGCTTTACGCAGTCTACTCATCCAAATGTCAATCTCATCCAGAAACACTCTTACACCCACTCAGAATAATGTTTGACCAATAATGGGGGCACAAGGCCCAATCAAGTTGACACATAAAATTAACCATCATAGAGTGAAGCTGGACAAGACCAAAGTCGTAATGCCAAAGAACTCCCACAGTTAAATGCCAGGCAGAAGAGACAGCAAAGAAACAATCAAAGGGGCTCAGAAACCTAAGCTATTCACGTAAAACAACCCAATAGTTCCAAGTGTTTATGAGGACATTTCCAATTTCCACTGGTCAAGTCCTTTTTCCGGATACAGCCAAATGCACTGATGCCCTGGCCCACTGCAGAGGTGCCACTTCCTTCCCACACAGGCCTGAGGGTGTCCTGCATGGAGGGCCAGAGCACCAAGGAAATATTGCCCTAGAAGCCATCCTCCATCAAGAGAGCTGCATGTTGGCAGTTATATTAGTTTCCTGTAGCTGCTATTGCAAATTTGATGGCTTAAAACAAGACAATTTTGTTATCTCATATTTCTAGAAGTCAGAAGCCCAAAATCAGGCTCACAGACTAGAGTCAAGGTGTCATCAGGGCTGGTTGCTTCTGGAGGCCTTGGGGAGAATCTGCTTCTCTAGCTTCCAGAGGCTGTCTGCATTCCTTGGCTCATGGCCTCTCCCTCCTTACTTAAAGCCAACAGCATAGCACTTCAAATCTTTTCTCTCTCTAAGCTCTGCTTCCTTTGTCATATTTTCTTCTCTGACTCTAACCCTCCTACTTCTCTCTTATAAGGACGCTGGTGATAATCTTCCCCATCTCTAGGTCCTTAACTCAATCTGAAAAGTTCTCCTTTTGTAAGGTAATATATTCACAGGCTCCGTGGATTAAGACATGGACATCTTTGTAGGGGAAGCATTATTCTGCTCACCACACCAGGAAAATTCCTCCAGTTTTCCCCCACCTTGAGGTGTGTTCCACGCAGCATCTAGGAGAATCCCCAGCAGCAGGGAGCCCCAGCAATAATCCACCCAGGAACATCCACTTCACTGGCTCTCCTCCCACCCCCATCTCACTTCCTCTTTCCCTCATCAGGCTTCCTGGGCTCAAATACCGCCCCCCCAAAAAAAAGAACTTCTTGCATGCCAATCTGGACTCAGGGTCTGCTTTTTTGTTTAAGCATACTTTATTGATTATGCTATTACAATTGCCCAATT